CCTGCTGAGCAGAGAGCCCGATGCGGGACTCGATCCTGGGAGTCCAGGATCATGACCTGAGCCGAAGGCAGTAGCCTAACCGACTGAGCCACCCAGGCGCCCCTGTCATCAGATCTTTTTAAGGAATAGTTCTGTAAACTTACTTTTTTGTCCTTTGGGCCATATCTTCCTGTTTCTTTGTATGCCTTGTGATTTCTCATTAAAATCTGGATATTTGGATATAATAATGTGATACCTGTGGAAATGAAATTCACTCCTATTCCTATGGTTTTCTGGTTTTTTTTTAAGTGTTTTTGGTTATTATTTTTCATTATTATAGGATGTCCTAGTACAAGGATCAGTCTGAGGTGTAAATGTAAGGTATTCTCAGGTCTTTTCTAAGCCTGAGCCTATTCCTTTCCCTGAACATGTGTGGTCACATTCTTATTTTTCCTATGTATGGAGTTGCTTTTGAATGTCCTAGTCTTTAATCTTTCGCTCACAAAAGAGGAGAGGAGAATAACGAATGGGGGGCAAAAATAAAAAAGGTTGCGCATTCTTTAAATGCCCTGGATGTCACATCAGCTGGAGAGGAAGGGGCTTGCAGCAGTGGAGAAAGGTGCAGCAACCATGGACCACCCTTCTCTCTTTGATCAGGAGCAGTAATCAGCCTTTAGACTACAGATCTCCAAATATTTGGAGGATGGGTCCTTTTTTCCCCCACCTTGGCTCCGGCAAGTTGAGTGCAAGCCACTCCAGGATTAAGTGCACAGCTGACTGCCATGGGCCTGAGAATAGGGGATGGAGAGCTGCTACTGTGTTAAGAGCTAATATTGATGTAAATGAAGTTTAGTTTACCTTCAAGCCTTCCTCTGCAAGTTGCAAGTCCTCAAAGAGTCTCCAGAGTTTCAGAATATTTACATTAGGCACATTTCACCTATTCAGTTGTTACCTAACTAGGAAAACAGATTCTTGGTGTTTTCTATTCTGCCATTTTCCCCAGAATCCTCTCTTCCAGTCCTTCCTTTGATAAGTCTCCTAGGCTTTTGCCTTTTAAAAGTTATTTTCATCTTATCAAAATAATATATATAGCTTAAAAAGTTAATAAGTAATAGAGTACCCATAATTAAAACAAAAAAATTCTGTCTTCTGGCTTAGACCCTAAGCCTACTCCATATAGACCCACTTTCAAGTTTTAAGGTGTTTCTTGTGTTTATCTCTGTATTGCTGCATAAGGTGATTACACCTCTATTGCTTGATTTATGGACTATAAGGTCGACCCATTTTTCTGTCTTTGCAGTATAATTGCATGCTTGGTTAAATCAGTATTCATTGTTTATATTATCATGGCTACATCTAAGTGCTTACTACTGAGCCAAATAGTATATATACTGTGATTACATGTGTTTATTTACTTGGCAATAGTAGATGAATGTGGGTGTAATTATATTTATTTATTATATAGAACTTTTTCTTAATGTGTCTGGTTTCGATATGATGGATCTTCCTTCCCTGTATCTTTAAGTACATGGTTTCAGAGTCTAGTCGCATTTATTTTCTTCACAATAAATTCTTCCTTCTCACTAGAATGAGAAAGGGATAGTTGCTTGGCTATGTGGACTAGGAGAGGGAAGATACCTGGAAGTCTACCTACTAATTAAACAGATTTAAGCTAATCCTTTTATTATCATCCTCTCCTTGCCATTTGTTTTCTGAGGACTCTAGTTTTTTTTTTTGTTGTTTCTTTTAGATTTTATTCATTTGAGAGAGGGAGAGCAAGCGAGAGAGCACAAGCAAGGGGAGCAGCAGAGGGAGAGGGAGAAGCAGATGCCCTGCTGAGCAGGGAGCCTGACATTGGGGATCATGACTTGAGCTGAAGGCAGACACTTAACCAACTGAGCCACCCAAGCGCCCCATGAGGACTCTAGTTTTTGAATCTTTACAGGGTTCTGGTTTTTAACTCATCTTTACTATTGGCATCTCCATTTATAGGCATTTAGGATTGAATTTCTTCATATTCTGCTAAGTAGGTTAAGACTGTCTGCCTTCCAGCTTCTAAAATTTTGAGGGTATCTCTTATCTGTTTTGTTTCCTGTATTTTTTCTTTTGGCCTTGGGGATTTGTCTATTTTTCTTCTTAACTTTTGCATTAGTGTGGTCTTACTGAGAAGTGAAGAAATGGATAACAGTCCACCATGTTTAATCAGAAGTCCCTCCTATTTTTATGTAGGTCTAAAATAGAAATGTTTATGCTTAAAATTCATTAGTAATAGCTTATTATCATCAGGTAGAAGTTTAAACTGTTCAGCATGACACTTAAAAGTTCATAGGATTTGAATTCTGTCTACCTCTTCAGCCTCGTTACTGGCCCCACCTCTTTCTCTTCTATTCTTTGTTCTAGCCGTACTGATCTATTAGTTTATTGAATGTATCAATTTCTCTGTATATTTCTCTGAATATATCTCACTTTCTACTTTAATATACAGTTGTGAGTTACCAGCATTAGGAGGATAGTTGAAGCTATAAAGTGCAGATGAGATTCCCTGAAGCAGCAGTGTAGAAGGAGAATAGAAGCAATTGTGGAACTGAGCCTTAAGGAAATCCAGCATTTAATGAATGTATTAGAGGAGGAACACAGAAAATCAAGAAAGAGTGATTAGATAAGTAGAAATTGGGAGATTATAATTTCATGGGAAAAGAGTGTTTTAGGAAGCAAAGAATGTATTAGATCCTAACGAGGTATCAGGTTAAGTGAGGATAAAGAAATCATTTTATTCATGTCATGCATATCATGGGTCCTTGAGTGATGATTACAGGTTTTTCCAAAGTTGGAGGCGAGGTCCTCTCAAAGTAAAGAGAGCAGTGGAAGGGTCATTAGACCTTTGAGGAGAATCCGAAAGAATTTTGAGATAAATGTTCTGGAGCGTGTGAACAAGTGGAATGGAGAAATGTAAGGTTGCTGTTGGGGTGAAGTTGGTGATACCTAATTTACAGTCATTACAGTCTCTCCTGTTGTGATTTGTCTCCTCCTGTCCTCAACTGGCAAGGTGTAAACATGTTTATGTAAAAAGTAATAGTTGGGTTTATTCAGAGTTGGAGCTTTGCCTCTGTGAGGAAAATTAGAAAAAAGAACAAAAGAGTTTAAAGAGTTGGTGAAATAATAGGTTATGGAATCTGAGCAGGATAAGAAATTTGGAAGGAGACTACTGGATGGGGAAAGGAAGATTTTGCATTGAATCGAATGAACAGATTCATAGAGTAAAGGATTTTGTTAGGATGTGGCGGTAATCAAAGGTCAAAATCCTGTCTTCAAAGAGCTTATATTTTGTTTACGTATTAATTCTAAAGTCCTTTTATAGTTAAGGTATTTACTGATCTGTTCACTGAATCTTGGATTTGGTGTAAATATATCTTCATCAGCTTGTCCTCCTGGGCCAGTTGAATTAGGGAGTAGTAGGTCATTAGAAGAAAAGACAGATAATATGTATGTACAGGTGGAACAGGACTAGAAATAGGAAATGAGATAGTTTTCATTGGCATTTTCAAATGGGGGAAAAGGGGATAGTAACTTGTGGTTATCAAAGGCATATGTTTTAGATAAAGGATTTATCTATTTATCTTGGAGATAGAGCAGGGGGAGGGGCATCGGGAGAGGAGAGAGAATCCTTGGCAGACTCTCCTCTGAGCACAGAGCCCAGTGCAGAGCTTGATCCCAGGACCCCTGAGGTCATGACCAGAGCTGAAATCAAGAGTTGGATGCTCAGTGGACTGAGCCATCCAGGCGCCCCTCAAAGACATGTTAAAAAAAGAAATTAGGAACCTCAATCCTTTATTCTTTCTATTCCCCTGGAAAGTTTTGAAACTGGAAACAGTTAATAGCTTTTTTAGAAAATGAGACAAATGATGAACTTCGTTCCCTTGAAAGGAGAAAGAGAAAGAATCTTATATCTTCATGTTGGGTTCATCAGGAAGAGACGCATAGTTAACTATTTTAAACATCAAACCACATACAACTTATGATAGTATCACTAATTTTAAGGGAGATGCCTACTTCCTGCTGTTACTGGCTTTTCTAAATTAAGCCCATTATAATTCTTATCTAATAATCTTCATTGTTTCCCAAATCTTTACGTACTCAGGTATAGTTAACAGAAGTTGTAAAATTTAATGGCAGTAAGTTTTACATGGTTGGCTTTAGTTTCATTAAAAAAAAAAAACCAGATTTTTAAAACTGAGTGTTTGGTTGCCTTTGAACGTCTATTGGTATGGAAGGCTCGGGGAAGGCAGGCTCTTAGTGTTCTGTTTACAAATACAGATTTTTTTCTTTAACATGGTGATGTTTATGTTACCTTGAAATGTGAATACTTATACAGTGTATTTTTCATTCAAGTTAAAAAAAAAATTTACTATTGTAGAAAAACTTCGGGTGGAGAAACAGGACACTTTTACGGAAAAATTAATTACTCAGATCATAAAAAATCTTCAAGTCAAAATTTCCAACATCCATATTCGTTATGAGGATGATGTAAGTATTTTAATAGGTGAAACTTTTTTTTATGTTTATGTTTTATTGTTTGTTGACTTCTGCTCTGTAGTGGTCAACCACTGATGCTGAGAAGTGGAGGGACACAGAGCTGAAATGACCTGATCTTTCTTTTCTGTAATTATAGTTTTAATTTGCAGTGTTTATTGCCTTGATTACACTTTCCTAAAATGTTCAAAAATCAGATAAGGAAAATGCCTTTTTATATTACGGTCATCTTTGATAGTTGGGCATTATGAATTTAGCAGTTATGTGTTTTTAAAATTCTTTATATTTACCTCCTGGAAATTACACTGGTGTAGGAATCAGTAGAGCTAGATTTAGATTATCTCAAATAGATCCTGTATTCTCTCTGAAACGCAAAATTATTAACTTCTCAAGTACTATTGTGAGGTCAACTTATCAATAAGCTTTTTTTATAAACTGAAAAACATGCAGATTTATTGTACAATAATACATTGATACTTGATATTTTAATTAGTATTTGGAAAAATATAGGAGTAAAAGTTGTAGAAAGTAGAAAAATGGTTTTGAATGTTTGAAATAGAATGTTTCCCAGAAAATGAACTTTTTTGATAAAGTGAATTTTAACTACTAAAAGTCTGACTAAAATTTGCTCTTTCCTCTTTAGATCACAAATCGAGACAACCCACTGTCATTTGGTATTTCCCTTCAAAATCTCAGCATGCAGGTACTTTGTTTGAAAAGAAATTTAACCCTATTGTGTAGTATAGTTCATCTAACTATTAATTACTGTTTGTGTGTGCCAGCATCAGAACTAGTTGTCTATATAGAATTATTGCATAGGCTGGATTGGAATTGGGGGTAGGTAGTTCAGCATTTCAAAAAATGGTTAATAATCAAATTTAGTTTAAAATAGGGCCTATTATTTGCAAATTAGAGCATTTGATACTTTTTTTCTTAAAAATATGTTGCTTAAATAAGTAGAAAGTAAAAGTAATGTTTATTTCAGAAACTTTGATAAGTCTTGAAAAACATAAAGAAACAAATCACTCATTTCCTCACCACCATTATTAATATTGTGGCAAACTTTCTTCCTGTCCAGTTTTTCAAACTGATGAATTTTTAAAGCCTAAGAGCAAATAGAGGATTATGAAACACTGGCTTGTGTCCAGAATGGACAGTTGTGGAATTTGTCATTTGGTTTAAGTATTAAATACTTTATTTTAAAGAATAAACTGTTAGGAATAAAGTTGAAATCTATTTTGTTTTCTACTCTTCACCCTTCTCTTAGAGATAAACATCCTAAGTAATATTTTATGTGATTTTTCTATAGATTTTCATTTTTCTCATCACAGTGTTTTTGACATTTACTTGTGTTGCTATACATAATTCAGTTTAATTGCTGTGTAGTATTTCATTACCTGCTTTTATTTGTTGTATCCATTGGGTTTTTGTGTATAATTTCTTCTTAAAATATGGATCCACTACAAGCAAAATAAATAAGAAAAACCAAATGAAAAGTTATTGAGTGACGTCGGGTGGGATAAACTGTCAAATGCTGTAAGTTTGAAAAATAAGGATGGAGAATTAGCCATTGGCTGTGGCAATGTGGAGGTAATGGGTAACTGTGACAGCAGTGGTGTTGACCATCACCTTTGGGAGACCTTGGAAACTGGTGTCCTAGCCCAGACCTATTCAGTTAGAAACTCAGGTGGGGACCCAGCAATCTAAGTTTTAGAAAGCCCTCCAGGTGATTTTGATGCACGCTCAAGTTTGAAAACTTTTGTCATCTCTTCAGTTTTCTACCAAAAAATGAAAACCATCTTTGTAGAATAAGCATCTAAACACTTTATTCACCTCAGTGGCTTCTCATTGCTATTGGAATAAAGTCAATAGTTTTGTTTTAAAATAGTTCATAATCGCTTTGTAATCTGACGCTGGATAACATCTGGTTTCACCTCTTTGCTTTATGTTCTCTGGCCATATGAGGCTTCTTCAGTTCCGTGAACGTTTTGCATATTTGCATATTTTCCTACTCTGAATCATATTCCCTACTGACCTTAAAATCAACAATTTCTATTCATATATATTGGACATCACTTTCTCCATTACACCCCTGAGTTTGAGGCTCCTACCTTATTCTGAGAACTGTGTATTTAACCTCTAAGGTGGCACTTACCTATTTGTTTTGTTTTTTTTATTATGTTAATTACCATACATCACATCATTAGGTTTTGGTGTAGTGTTCCATGATTCATTGTTCGCGTATAACACCCGGTGCTCCATTCAGTACGTGCCCTCTTCAATACCCATCACCAGGCTAACCCATCCCCCCACCCGCACTTACCTATTTGTAATGGCTTGTTTACTTGTTTGCTTTTTCGAGCTCTTTGAAAGCAGAGGCTTTCTTGTAGTCAGTTAATATTCTTTCACTGAATGTTTTCAAGAACATTTTTATGGGAAATTGGTCAAGGGCATGGTTGGTACAATTTATCAGTCTGCCATTTCACATGTAAATAATATTTTCACTGTTTTTTACTTTTCTTTTTAGACAACTGATCAAAACTGGGTTCCATGTTTACATGATGAAACTGAGAAACTATTTTGTAAGGTAAAATATTTTGTCAATCCACAGACAAAAGAGACTTTTAGAAAGGCGAATGGTAATATATATAGATAAGGATTTATGTGAATTGTGTTTACTTAAGTCTATCATATGACTCAATTATTTGAGACTTCTGAAAATAGCATATGTTAAAGAAGAAAACGAGACATGTAATAAATTTGATTTGTTTTCAGTTAATCCGATTGGATAACCTTTTTGCCTATTGGAATGTGAAATCTCAGTTGTTTTACCTTAATGATTATGATGAATCATTGGTAAGTAAATCTTTTTGATATGTGTATGTACACCTTTGTTGGTATCCTATTTTGCATAAGGTTTTATTCATTATCATTTATTAACATACTCTGTGGTCTTTTTTCCTAGGCAAAATCCATTAAAATTTACAGAAATAGGTGAATATATATGTGCCTGTACACAAACATGTATAGATCTTTTTTTGTATAATTGACATGCAGCATTAGTATTTATTAGTCTCATGTGTGCACTGTAATGGTTCAGTATCTGTACATAATGTGAAATGATCACAGTAGGTCTAACATCCGTTACCATACATAGTTAATTACGGAACTTTTTTCTTTGGATGAGTACTTTTAAGATTTACTCTCTCAGCAACGTTGAAATATGCAGTACAGTATTGTTAACTGTAGTTGCCATGCTGTACGTTACATACATTTCCATGACTGACTTACTGTATAACTAGAAGTTCTTAACTTTTTGACTCCCTTCACACATTTTGCCTATCTCTCACTCCACCTCAGATAGTCACTGGTCTATTCTCTGTATCTGTGAGTATGAGCTTGGCTTCTTTTTTTTTTTTTTTTTTTTTTAAGTATTCCACATATAAGTGAGGTCAGATGGTATTTGACTTATTTCACTTAGCATAAGGCTATCAAGTTTTATCCTTGTTGCAAATGGCAAGATTTCCTTTTTAATGGCTGAACAATAATTCGTGTGTGTGTGAGTATATTTTCTTTATCCATCTATCCATGGACATTTAGGTGGTTTCCATATCTTGGCTATTATAATTAATGCTGCATTGAACATGGAGGTGCATGTATCTTTTCTAGTTCATGTTTTTCTTTTAGTAAATATTTAGAAGTGGAATTGCTGGATCGTATGGTAGTTCTTTTAATTTTTTGAGGACCCTCATACTGTTTTTCCATAGGGGATTGCATCAGTTTACATTTCCACCAGTAGTGTATAGGAATTTCCTTTTCTCCACATCCTTGCCAACACTTGTTATTTTCTTCTTTTTTTGTTAATAATAACCATTTCAACAGATGATAGCTCATGCTTTTGATTTGTGATTTCCCTGATAATTAGTGGTGTTGAGTACCTTTTCATGTACCTGTTGGCTATCTGTATGTTCGAAAAATGTCTATTCAGTTCCTCTGCCATTTTTAAATTGGATTGTTTTTCTGAAATTGGGTTGTATGAGTTCTTTATGTATTTTGGATATTGACCCCTTATCGGATAAATGATTTGCAAATATTTTCTCCTATTCATTAGTTTGCCTTTTCATTATGTTGATGGTTTCCTTTGCTGTGCAGGAACTTTTTAGTTTGATGTAGTTCCATTTGTTTATTTTTTTTCTCTTGTTGACTTTATTTTTGGTGTCAGATCCAAAATACCATCGCCAAGACCGGTTTCAAAGAGCCTACTGCCTATGTTTTCTTTTAGGAGTTGTATGGTTTCAGGGCTTACATTCAAGTCTTTTAATCTATTTTGAGTTAATTTTTGTGTATGGTGGAGGGTATTGGTCCAGTTTCATTGTCTTGCATGTGGCTGTCCAGTTTTCCAAACACCACATATTAAAGAGACTCTCCTTTCCTCATATATTTTTGGCTTCCTTGTTGTAATTTATTTATTTATTTTTTAAGATTTTATTTATTTATTTGAGAGAGAATGAGAGACAGCACGAGAGGGAAGAGGGCAGAGGGAGAAGCAGACCCCCTGCTGAGCAGGGAGCCCGATGCGAAACTCGATCCCAGGACTCCAGGATCATGACCTGAGCCGAAGGCAGTCGCTTAACCAACTGAGCCACCCAGGCGCCCTCCTTGTTGTAATTTAATTGATCATATATGCATGGGTATATTTCAGGGCTCTTTATTCTATTGCTGTGTGTACCTGTTTTTATGCCAGTGCCATACTGTTTTGATTATTATAACTTTGTAATATAATTTGAAATCAGGGATTGTAATAGCTCCAGGTTTGTTCTTTCTCAAGATTACTTTGGTTATTCAGGGCCTTTTGTGGTTTCATACATACATTAAGGTCATTTGGTCTAGTTCTGTGAATAATGCCATTGGAAATTTGATAGAGATTGTACTGAATTTATAGATTGGGTAGTGTGGAATTTTTAACAGGTTTATTTCTTGCAGTATAGAGCATGGAGTATGTTCCCATTTTTTTGCATCTTCAATTTCTCTCTTACAGTTTTTGGTGTACAAAGCTTTACCTCCTTGGTTAATTTTTTTTTATTTCAAATACTTTGTTTTATTGTTTTAATTCCCTAAAGCTACAAAATGTGAGTAACAAATTTCTTTAGTTTCAGTTAATTTTTTTTTTAAAGTTTTTATTTAAATTCTAGTTGGTTAAGATACAGTGTAATATTGGTTTCAGAATTAGAATTTAGCAGGATGCCTGGGTGGCTCAGTTGGTTAAGCATCTGCCTTCAGCTCAGGTCATGATCCCAGGGTCCTGGGATCGAGTCCCGCATCAGGCTCCTTGCTCAGCAGGGAGCCTGCTTCTCCCTCTCCTCCCTAATCATGCTCTCTCTCGCTGTCTCTCTCTCTCAAATAAATAAAATCTTTAAAAAAAAAAAAAAGTAGAATTTAGTGATTCATCACTCATGTGTAACACCCAATGCTCATCACAAGTGCCCTCCTTAATTCCCATCATCTATTTAGCCCATCCCCCACTCACCTCCCCTCTAGCAACCCTCAGTTTGTTCTCTGTTAAGTGTTTTATGGTTTGCCTTCCTACCCTTTTTTTTTTTTCCCCTTCACCTATGTTCATCTGTTTTGTTTCTTAAATTCCACATACGAGTGTGGTCATATGGTATTTGTCTTTCTCTGACTGACTTCCTTGGTTAAATTTATTCCTAGGTATTTTATTCTTTTTGATGTAATTGTGAATTGGATTGTTAATTTCTCTTCTGCTACAGCATTATTAGTGTATAGAAATGCAGAAGAATTCTGTATATTGATTTTGTATCCTGCAACTTGATTGAATTCATTTATTCTAACAGTTTTTGGTGGAGTCTTCAGGGTTTTCTATATAGAATGTCATGTCATCTACAAACAGTGACAGTTTTACTTCTTTTCCAATTTGGATGCCTTTTATTCTTGCTTAATTGCTCTGGCTTGGACTTCTGAATATGCTGAATAAAAGTGGCAAGAGTGGGCATCTTTGTCTTGTTCCTGATCTTAGAGGAAGAGTTTTCAGTTTTTAACTGTTGAGCATGTTAGCTGTGGGTTTGTCATATATGGCCTTTATTGTGTTAAGGTATATTTCGCTTATACCCACTTTCTTGAGATTCTTTATCATAAGTTCATGTTGAATTTTGTGAGATTTTATATATGTGCCTGTACACAAATATGTAAAAACACACACTATATATCTAAATAGTTCACAGATTATTCTTTAATAGTAGTTAATGGGATATTGTCATCTGACCACTTCAGTATTTTCCATAGATCAGTTCTCCTAAGTTTGAGTTATTTTTTAAATTGCTTTAAAACATTTTTTTGTATATAATAGGATTTTGTAAAGATATATTGGCATGAATATAAATAAAAGCAGTTTGTCTTTTAATAGGACAGCTTGAAGAAGGGCATTGTCAATGGAAATATTGTTCCGAAAGGTTATGATTTTGGTAAGTACATTTTATAAAATACATGCAATTAATCAGTATAAATTTTAAATGAACATTGTTAATGTCACTGTGATGTTTCATGTTGATTTTGTTATATAATTCGAGGTATTTATATGTGCACAAAAAAAACTATCTGTTCTATGCCATTCATTGTTGGGGAGCTTTTTGCTATATTTTGAAACAATAAAAAAGAAAAGTGTCCAACAAGAGAGGATGTAATAAATGTGGTAAATCTCTAAGGATTATTCAGTAATAATTACAATCTTTTAAAGACATTTTACATGGCAAATACAATTTAATAAGGCTAGTAGCTGCTGTAGTCTATAGTGTGATCTTACTGTTTTAAAAATGTATATTTAAAATTTCTCTTCTTTATACTTTTTTCTGGTTCCAGATTTTCTGAAATGAACATGTAGTACTTTTATAATCAGAAATGAGTAACTAAAATTTCAAATTGAAAGTAGTACTATTTTTTTTACCCTGTAGGCACTCAATAAATACTGATTGATGGATGGATAACTCATTTATTGGATTTGGTTGTCTGATGTCATCAACCAGTGATTCTTTTCTGTATTCTTCTACCTTCATGATGACACTTTATTAATTTCCTGACGTGGCTTATTTATTTTTTTTAAAGATTTATTTGAGAGGGCTCACATGTGCACAAGGTGGGGGATGGGCACGGGAGAGAGGTAGAGAGAGAGAGAGACTCTGGAGCAGACTCCCCACTGAACATGGAGCCTCAGGCTACTGAGCATGGAGCTCAAAGCTGACTTGATCTCACCACCTGAGATCATGACCTGAGCTGAAACCAGGAGTCGGGTGTTCAACCAGCTGAGCCAGCCAGGCACCCTTGAAGTGATTCTTCTTGTTTTCACTCTTGAAACCAATTCAAAGCCTTTAAGTGGATATTTTTCTAGATTTTTTTCCTAAAAGGAAACATTAATAACAGATGAGATTGCCTTTCATGTGTGTTGATGATTCTCCTATCACTTTAGGTTTGACTGATTTCTCCTTTGCCCTACTATCATTTCCTTCTCCATTAGTGAGGGTCTGGTGAGAGAGAAACTACACAGTAATTTGAGCAGGGGAAGTTTAATATAAAGAATTACTATCATAGGATTGGAGTAACAAGGGATTGGCTACTAAAAAGTAGAGAGAACTCTAAAGAATATAAGAATAATAGAAGGAACTGCCCCTACCCTGGGACTAAGATGGAGTGCCCAAAGAACAGGGTCTGCCTGCCTCAACACTGAGATCTAGAGCTTGTTGGAAAGGACATGACCAGGGCTCACTGACTGCCAGGAAAAGTCTCTCTGGTGCCAGGCCACTGAACTTGTTGGAAATTTGCCCTCAGGAACTCTAGCGTCTCTCATGAGGAGTTGCTCATAGGAGGCACTTCACTGCAAAATTGCCTTAGGGTGCTGGGAGAAGTTGCCAGCTGCTCCTAGCTGTTGTGTACCTCAGCAGGCTAGTGCTGAAAAAATCTGTCATGCTTGGGGAGCTGCCTTCTGTAGGACCCACTTGGTAGCATCTGGGTGGTGGAAAAGTCCCGATACTGCAAGAGTCTGTGGAATGAGCCCGTTAGAACCGGGAAGCAGAACTCCCCCTGCAGTCTCTCTCCAGTGTCTAGCATTATGCCAGCTGGTAATTAAAGGGCCCAAATCTAGCTTTTAGATTAAGCAGTGAAGGATGAATTTGGAATTCACAGATAAATTGATAACTGGTATATACCTGCTGGAGAGGGAAGGACTAAAGGCTTTTTTTTTTTTTTTTTTTAAGATTTTATTTATTTGTCAGAGAGTACAAGCAGGCAGAGCGGCAGGCACAGGGAGCAGACCCCCCGGTGAGCAAGAACCTCCATGTGGAACTCGATCCCAGGATGCTGGGATCATGACCTGAGCCGAAGGCAGATGCTTGACAGCTGAGCCATCCAGGCGTCCCAGACTAAAGGCTTTTTTTTGTTTGTTCTTTATTTAATGGGAGAGACAACAGTTTATAGGCTGAGATAGGAATGATCTGTAGAATATGAAAAACGAAGCAAGAGAGAGAAGCGGTAGTTTATGGGATATGGGTGAAAGGGGATAGGATCTCGTGCACAAGTGGTGTTTTGCCACACAGAGGAACATGATTAGTTCATTTATAAGACAGATTTTGGCATAAGAGAGAAGTCCTAATGTTAGACAGTAGTGATGGTAATAGGAGTTTATGGAATTTCTTTTATGAGCTCTTATTTTTTAATACCTGAGGTGTTGGGGGTTTTTGGAGGGAAGAGAGGCTATGAAATAGTCATGTAGGTAAACAGGAGAGTGAATTGACTAAAGTGGTGTTCTCAAAGTATGGTTCGGACTAGCAACATCAGTATTACTTGGAAACTTGTTAGAAATAGAAATCCTAGGGCCCATTCCAGACATATTGAACGAGAACTTCTGAGGGTGAGCCTTGCCAATCTGTTTTAATAAGCTTTCCTGGTAATTTTGATGATTTTGAGAGCCACTGGGCTAGAGTTGGGGCTGGGCAGTTTTTTTTTTTTTTTGTAAAAGGCCACATAGTAAAAAGTTTTCGGTTTTAAGGCCATATATAGCCTCTGTCACATATTTTCCTTTGTTTCTTTTAAACAACCCTATAAAGGTGTAAAAATCATTCCTAGTTCATTGGTTGTATAAAAACACACTATGGTATGCATTTGGCCCCTATCCTGGACTAAATATTGTATGACTGCTCAGCAACATTGAGGATTTTTAGGATTTATGACATTAAAGTGAGACCAATCTGTGTGATTGTGTACGTTTTTGGTTTTGTTTTTTTCCCCTAACCAAATTCAATTTCTTAGGTAGGTTACAGGTGTAGAGTAAATGGAGAGGGTTTTTATCCAGAATTAGAGTGTGGCCTGGTAAGTACTGACAAAGTGAGAAGACAGAGGAGTGAAGAGTGAATGCAGGGGGATGATTAAAATAACTGATTATAGAATTTTAATAGGGTAGGGAGGTTCCTGAGGACATGAAGCGGAGGTGAAAGACAAAAGATAAAGGATCAATGAATGATAGGTCTCACGGGACTTGAAGTTTAGTACTAGAGAGATAGGTGGTGGTGGTAGGAGAGTTGGATGCTTGAGACTGAGCTATGGAGAGGTCTAGCATATAAGTATGATAAGATCTAGTGGATGAAGTAAGGGTGGAGAAGTCCAAGGTTCTGAGAGGCTTTGGTTTTGGAAAGATTATTTGTATGTTGAAATCACTTGGAAATTAGAGTTGCCAGGAGCTAAAATCGCAGAGACCTAGGAGAGGTTGTAACCTAGGGATGGATAGAGATTGCAACCAGGAAGGATATAGGGGATTGTGTAGTCTTGTACGTAACATAAGAAAGCTGGGGGAGAGGAATAATTTTATTTTTCAGATAGTGATATTATTGCTGTGTACATACACTTTTTAAACTTTCTTCTTTTAAAAGATGTATTTATTTAGAGAGAGGGAGGATGCAGGGGAGAGAGGCAGAGGCAGAGGGAGAGAGAACTCCATGCAGAGCCCAACATGGGGCTCCATCTCAACCCTGAGATCATGACCTGAGCCGAAACCAAGAGTTGGACCCTTAACTGACTGTGCCACCTAAGCGCCCCTGAACTTTCTTTTACTATTTCCTTCCACTTAGGTATATATAAATTTTTCTTATTTTTCACTCTGTGGTACTTTACTGTATAGATGTATCATGATGAATTTAACCAGTCTCCATTTGTTGAATATCTTCTTGTTCTACTCAAGTTCACAGTATATTTGAATGCTCAGTGTGTAAAAAAACCTAAGTGCTATGCCTTGGGAATGATTAAAACAAGAGGAACATACTATGTTTTTATATAGATTAGCTTATAATTTAATAGTTGATCTTGGTATAGATTCTGCTATTGTTTGTCTCCCTCTGCAAGAATATTCTTACTCTTTTTGGCACTAAATATAAAGGGTTGAGTTTAATCCATTTTAGACTATGGATTGAGCCAAGAAGGTTATCCTGGGTTAACTCACTCATCTCACCTCTCCTTTTACAAGTTAAAATGGGGCAGATGGATACATAGAAACTGATCAGAAGTTCAGAAATTATAACTCCATAATGGAAGTCAGTGGTCAAGTACAATCTTTTCTCCCTTAGCATTTTTAATGTAATTCCTTTAAATTGTATTTTTGTTAAGATTATTTTATTATACTATTTTTGCCTTTTAGAGATTGTTCCTGCTTTTTAAGGGTTATGTTGGTGTTTTGAGGGGGAGTTTACTTAGTCTTCATTTACTTAAAATATAAAATTATAGGTAGGAAAAAGATGAAAGAATATTCTTTATTAATTAAATGACAGTTCATCTGACCAAATTACAGCAGTGTGGAAATCTGGGAAAGTAAGAGTATAAGAAATGAAAATATTTTCCACTTCATCCCCTTAGCACTTTGGGACTCTGAAATATAACTCAGTTTAACTTTTTAAAATTTATATTTTTCAGTTTTTCGCCCCATATCTGCTAATGCCAAACTTCAGATGAATCGGCGATCAGATTTTGACTTTTCTGCCCCCAAGATAAACCTGGATGTTGAGTTACATGACATAGCAATTGAACTTAATAAACCACAGGTGATTTTTTTTAAATGAAATTTTAAATTGTGAGTTATAATTTGATAAAAGCAGAACTAAGATTTTAAATGTATTTCAAACACAATGTTACATGGTAACATTTCCTTTAAAAAGTCAGTAATTTAATTTTTTTAACAATTGAACAAAAAATCTGAAACATTTAAGAGCCTTCATTTTTTTCATTCTTCAGTATTTCAGTGTTATGGAGCTTCTTGAATCAGTTGATATGATGACGCAAAATCTGCCATATAGGAAATTCAGACCTGATGTACCTCTTCACTATCATGCCAGAGACTGGTAAAATGACTTACGTTTTTATTTAAATTGAGGTATAATTTGACATATTAGTTTCAGGTTTATAACATAGTGATTTGATATTTGTATATGTTGTAAACTGATCACCGCAATAAGTCTAGTTAACATCCATCACCATATATGAGGACAGATTTTTTTAATATATATTTTTTAAATTTAATTTATTTATTTGAGAGAGAGAGAGAGTGAGAGCACAAGATG